CAATAACCGCAATTGTCTGCACCTGTAAACGAAGATTAGCCAAAAAGACTCAACAAGTAAATCGTCTGAATAATCAACTGACACAACCCCCTGGATATCAACAAACAAACTTATACGCATAAAAATAACTCATAGAAAGTATAAATAGAACTGCTTGATGAAAACAAAATTCTCATACATCAAATAATTTAATTATCAAGATAGGCAATACGATACTTACAATAGAAACTTATTAAATAAGGAATAATTATATCTGGAATAACATTGATAACAAAATCAACTATTAATAGCTCTAATACACAAAACAACTCATGATCATAGATATCATACTGATACTGAGTACAACAATATTATTATTAACAATATTAATAACAACAATAACACTAGCTATAATCCACAATCATAGACTGTATCAAATATTACTAATCCTGGAAAGAAATAGATGACTAATAATCAAACACAGATAACATTCAACAATACGTGTACAACTATTGACAACAATCCAATTGCAACACAATTACTTTATGGAATAATCATTGATAACAATAATATTAATAACAATCTTATATTGTTGCTGTAAACATCAACGCTATAAAAAGAGAGTGAACAAGACCATACCTGGAGCAGATCAATACCTTCAACAATCTGATACATCAATCTGTTGTTAAACAAAAATAAATAATTAATCTAACCTTATATGTCAAACAATAATTATCAAAGACCACCACTAAGACCAATTGCACCCTTTAACTATCATCACGGGATACCAAGAGTAATCACACCAAGAGTACTAACCGTACCTCAACAAAGACCAGTGATACCTTACGTACAACATCAAAGGCCAAATATACCAAGACCTTTACAACAAATACCAATTGATAATCAACTACAACAACAGTTATACCAACAATTTGGAATAATACCTAGACCTATACCACCTAACGCAGCTCCAAGAAGACCACCTATAGTACCAAAGAAACCTAAAGGATTACAACTTCTCAAAAAGAAATAATCTTTAAATACTTTAATGACAAATAACGATACCGACAACACACTCTTAGAAGTATTCGGAGGAATAACTACAATATTAGTAATATTAGGAACAGTAGCATTGATACTTATAATTGCAAAACTTAAACAACTCAAGAAAAGAAAACAACAAACGAAAAATCAAAATTTACCTCCATATACCCAAGAGGAAGCAATACAAAAAGTTATACCAAATATACCATATATCAATCAAACATTTGGAACAAGATATTAATACATGTCAATAATACAAATATCGATCACACCATCAATTGTACTTAGCACAATAATCAATACTATAACTGCTACATTTACACCAACATTAACACCATCTATAATCCAAACACAAATACCAGGATACCTGCAAGATACAAACGTAATCGATACATTTATAGGAGAAGTAATATTCATAATAGTAGTGGCAATAACTACAACCATAATTATCTGTAGAAACAGAAACCATCAGAACGAATTAAAAGTTCTTAAACAAGATTTTGAAAATCAAAGAATAATAAATAACGTTCACGCATTACAAGAACAAAGTGGATAATCAACAAGAAAATACCTTAACGGTCATAACCAGTGATCATACAGTATCAACACTAAACGTATCAATAACTTGGATGCACAACATCATCATAGTATTAGCAGCATCAGAGAAACCATTCATATATCTCAATCAAACTATACAACTTACTATAGTATCAATAGCAATAGTAACAACTATATCTATAATAGCAAACACTATTATAAGAGCAAAAGAAGTAACTGCATTGGTAAATCATCAGAAGAAACTGAATGAATTGCCCAGATAAAGTTGAAAAACTTAAGAAACTTATAGTAAAAACAACAGAATATAAAGGAATAGTAATAAAGATATTAGAAGAAAAACCAAAAGAAGCTATTAAAGAAAAAGAAATTCCAAAACAAATTAAAATCAAAACAGAAGTATCACCAATACTTAAACAAAGCCTAAAACTAACAGTACCCCAAGCAGCAGAACTATACGTATATTTAGAACTCAAAAAAAAATTTAATCAAGGAACCTTACCTATAAATAAGTTACCATACTTAACAACCAAAGCAAAACAATATAACGAACCAAAAGAGTTCATAGAAAAAATATTAGATAAAGCACCATATTTATCTAAAAATAATTAATGAGTTACGGAGAAATTGGAAACGAAGTATATATAAGAGTTTTCCAACAATACTTTAACAAATATCCAAATCCACCGTCAGACGAACATAAGATAAAATTACAAAAAAAACTTAAAGAATTTGATCAAAAAATCGAAGAGTTCATAGAAGGAAACTTGATAACTAAAAGAATTCCTATACAAGAAGAAAATCAAGTCTATAATTACAAGAAAAAAGAATATAGAAAACAAATTTCTAATTACATTGAAGAAGAAGAAGTAGACCCAGAAAACTTAACTGACGAAGAAATAACAACATATTTAGTATATTCGTTAGTAATAGCAGATAGATCAAGAGTCAAAACAAGCTTAGAAACTATTTCAAGAAAATCATTCAACGTAAAAAATTGGCTAAAACATACTCAGTGTACCTATCAAGGACAGCTATCAACTATATTACCTGAATAATGGCAGCAATAGTAGAATTCGAACCACCAAAAAACTTAGAAAGGCTAACATCCTTAATATCAGAATTTGATGGATCAATTGAAAAATACAGAGATTGGAGAAACCAATTAGAAAATGCATTCAAAGCAATAAAATTAGGAGATTTAATTATATTTGGAAGATACTCCGGAACACCTAAAAAAGGATATACATTAAGAGAAAGAAATTATGATTCAACAGGAAATAATGCAAGTGAATGCAGATGGAGTACAGAAATAATACAAACAGTATTCGCAATAATAAGAACAAAATTGAGAAAAGACGCATTGGAAGTATTTGATACAGAAATAACAACTATAAATTGTTATTTTAGATCCAACTTAAATAATGCAAATGATCTAAAAGATGCAACAAATTATCCGATAAAAGGGATAAATTACTTACAAGTAGCAGGAAACTGGCATGCTTCAGCAACAGCAGAAGGAACAAGGGTAAACCCAAATGTTACAGACGCAACAGAACAAAAAGGATTTAGAGACGTATTTGATGAAAATTTCACAAGAGACTCAGTACAATCATTAAACCAAAAAGAATTTCTTAAATTCAACTTTTATAAAAACCTAGATTGGAGCGACGACTCAGGATTCAGAAAACAAATGAATCAATATAAAAAACTCAAACAATTGTCAAATTGGCAATGGGCCCCAAACTTCTTTGGAGGAAACTATATGTATTTAGTAGAAAGATTACCCAAAAACATAGCTCAACAAATTACATTAACAAATCTAGTACCGAACAACGAAGAAGATTTCTTCAGAAGAGCTGACACTCTATTCAGATCAATAAGAGTAACGATGGATATGGAAAAATCCAAAAATGAAAAAACAAATCATTATTCCCAAAAAACAAGAATAAATAATGTGCAAACAACGGAACAACCTCAAAAAGGAAAATGCTACTCATGTGGACAAATAGAACACTTTGCAAAAGAATGCCCAAGACGAAAAGGAAAAGAAGCATATAATAGAGTACAATCAACATACAAAAATTACAATGGAAAACAAAGGAAAACCTTTGTAAGAAAATACTGTTCATATTGTGGAAAAGATAATGGATATCACACCAAAACATGTCCAAACAATAATGCCAATTATTATGAAGGAAAAAGAACAAGAGGACCAACACCTATGGTTCATAAATACAATAACTTTAAAAATAATAGAGGAAAAGGAAGACCTCGGTATAATAATAATAATAATAGAAACAATGGAAAAAGACCACAAAATAATACGAGAAAAACTTTCGCAAGAAGAAGAGTCAACAATTACAAAGAAGAAAAACAATCAGAAAAAGCATACAATTCTGAAAGAAAAGAGAAAAATGACTACAAATCTAAAGAAAAAAACTCATACAAAAATGATAAAAGAAAAGTAAACCATTATAATGAAGAAAATGAAGAGTATTATAGTGATGAAGAAGTAGTTCATCATACCAAAGTCAAAGAAAATCTTGACAAAATACGGTATTTTAACTAGGGAACCTGTGTAGTACTCAGGACAAAATCCCAGAAAAAATAGGCCAAAGTAGAAAAATACTTAGTACTAAAGAATATTATAATACTATAACATTAGAAGAAAGTATACACAATATACAATGTATTAATGATGAAATAAATAAAAGATCGCAAAACGATCAATATAACAAATATTCTGCCAAATTATTATCAAATGAAATGTATCAACAAGCTCAAAAAAACCCAGAATACTCTTATTTATTAAAACAATACTATTTTCCAAAAGAAACGAACAAAGCTCAAGAATTTCCTAAAGGCAAAAAATCATATGAATTTATAGCATTAATGAACGACAAACCTATTAAAATACTCATAGATGAAGGAGCAAGTGCAAGTGTAATACCCTATAATGTAGCAAAAGAATGGAACTTATTAAACAAACTAAATAAAGAACAAACTAGAACTGCAAGAGTTCCAGGAGGAATGAATGTGACAAACTATGGCAAAGTAAGAGTTAAACTCCAAATAGAAGATCTAATATTCTATATCAAAGTATCAGTAATAGAAGGAAAACAAGCATATATACTCTTAGCAGAAGTAGATCAAGCACGGATGGGAATAAAGAAAAATAGAGAAACTCAGATCATAACAATTAGAGACATACCAATATCATACCAAGACATAACAACAGACGTGCAAAAAACGAACCTATCACACCGGTTTTATGACAGGAACCCGGATCGCACCTTGAACCTTACGATAAAAAAGGAGAGATCTCATGGTCAGCACACTAATACTGATGAAATCACCCAACTTGATACCACAAATCAGCCGAAAATACATCTAATAAAGAGTAAATCACGTGCAGCTAGTTACCTTGCTCGAAAAACTAGTGACCCAGGCAAAAGCGAGAAAAACCTGCCGTTGGCGCCCAACGTGGAAAGTAAAAATCTATCCCCAAAAATCAAAACAAGTCGAACCCCTAACAACCAATTACACGTCAATAACAATATGATATTGGAGAAAAACAACACCTCAAAGAAGAAGAAAGCAAAACCGCCCTTAGAAAGAAAACCTAAACAAGAGTTTTCTAAAGAAAACATGAAACAAAATGAGTCAACTGAGAAATGGGTAGATAAACAATATAACCCAAAGAAATGTAAGAGATTTGTAACGCATCTCTTACCAGAGTCATTTCCTAAACAAGTTAAGAAGCTTAGGGAACTTGTTAAAGAAAATGAAAATAGAGTTAAATTAATTGGAGTAACAACCGATGCCCGATGGGATGAAATAGTAAAAACTACTATCATAACCCAATCTAACATAGTACAAATATTCTTAAAATATTTGGATTCAATAAAAAAAGGAACACCTGACAAGCAGGAAGATATAAACATAATAGAAGGAAATAAAAATATTAATTTAAAAATGGTTTTACACCACAGTATGGATTATATGTAAACGATAAACTATTTAAATATTATAATGGAAATAAACAGGCAAACTGGAAAATAATAAGGATAATTCAAGAATTAAAACGTGCTGATAAAATGAATATACGATGGAGTGTACTACATTTAGGAACAAAAACTGATCGCGATCAAGAAGATATAATAGAAAATATCAATTATATATTAAGGAAAATAGTTGAAAACAATCTAAGGATTGGACTATTATTGGAAAATAGCGCAAGTACCAAATGCTATGGATCAACAATGGCTGACCTCATGGATATCCTAAATAGTATAGACCAAAGATTACGGTATAAAAATGGAAATAAAGAAAAAAGAAGAATAGCAATGTGCTTCGACACACAACACTTTTATGCAGCTGGAAATGGAAAACATGTAAATGAATACAAAAATGTACTTTACATGTATGGAAAAGAAATACAATTAGTACATATAAACAACAATCCCCGGGAAGCGATATTCGGAATAGGAATGGACAAGCATGTACACATATTAAATCCAAACGCAATAATTACACAAGATGTATTTCAGATGATAGCAAAGCACAATGAGGTCTGTGCTATGGTACTAGAAACACCAAACATAGAATTATCAGATCAAATTGCACAAATACATGAAGTAATGAAATTACGAGAATATGCAAATGACGTTATAACAGAAAAAGATCGTAACGTTCAAGAGTGGACCAAAGAAAAAGATGAAGAACAAAGTGAAATCACAGGATCCCAAGGATCAGGAATATACATCCCCTTAGGATTTCAATTGGAAGACCCAGATGTATCTGACCTAGCAGATAGACTAGCAAGAACAACCTTTATGGCAAACAATGAACAGCCTGCAGATAAAGGACAAAAGAATTTAAATAATAAACATTTAAATCAGATATATAGAGAAGTAGAAGAAACCTTAGATAAGGTATTACCTTCAAAGAAAGAAAAAAAGAAGGAAGAAGATCTTCCTAAAGATCAACCATGAAAAATGGGCCAAATCATCAAGCAAAAGCTAAATAGATTAGATAAAGCTATAGTCGATGGAGAAATAGCTAAGGATACAGAAATTGAACAAACAATTCAAGACCTTAATTGGAGATTAGAACAAATAAATAAAACTTACAGTTATACCCAAGGTTTAACTGAAGAGGAGATAGAAGAATATCTGGAATCAATACAAAAAGTAACAAAAATTAAAGATTTCGACAAACCAGCAAAAACGAGAAGAGAATACTTATATGAAGTATTATCAACGCTAAACGAAACAAATGATGCAACGATATGGAAACATCGAGAAGATATAAAAGAACTTCAAAAAGAATATAATAGAGATATTCATAGAATATTAGGAATAACCGCTGAAGAATTCAATGATATGGGACTCATTGAACAACAAGTAGCAGTAAGTGCGTTGATAACAGCACAAGCACACTGTAAAGATGAACCTACAAAACAAGCATTATTTGAGAAACACAAAGAATTCTTAGAATCACAATTAGAAAAAGTAGGAGATATGCATGATGACACAGAAATTCAAGGAAGAATTTATGGAGATGTCATCAATGCAAGAAAAAAGAAAAACCACAAATATTACTGCCCGATCCAGAAGGAAGAAGTACTTACAAACTATATGAACAATATAATGTACCAAGAGACAAACAATTTGTTAAAGAAAATGAACGAATTGGAATAAGAATACCATATTCATCTACAGATGATGTATTCTTAGATGAAAGACTATCACAAACCTCTAAAAGAAATGAAAATATTCCGCAAGAGCATTACCAAAAGTAACAAAATTCTTCGAAGATATAAAACAAGGAATTAAGAATAAATTCACATCTAGACCAACAACACCTTCACTATTAAGTCAACATACCTTAAGTAGAACACCTACTATTGAAAATAACAATATAAGTAGAGCACTTACACCTACTACTGAAAATAATAATACATTTAATCGAAAAAGAGATGAAAGAGGGTATACACTATCACCAGATCCTTATGAAAGAAAACAAACAAGATATAAAAGCCCAAGTCTTAGCTCAAAACATACAGACCAAATTTTTAATGAAGAAATAGAAGAAAGAACAGAAGAAATAGAAATACCATATTATGATAACGTACATAATGAAGGACAATCCTCGACCTATATACCGGTACAAAATACCTTTAAAGGACAAACATATACTATGTATGTACCTGAAACAATATATCAAAAATTAGATAACTTCAAAGAAGAAGACTTCAAAGATGAAGAATTAGAAGAATTAGAAGCAGAAGTAAAAGCAGACTTAGAAGAATATCAAAATGAAAGATTTGGACAAACAGTTGAAAACCAACTTAAAGAAAATGAAGGGGATACGGAATAAATGATGATGAAGAATATAATCATATTCTATTAAATAATCTAACTATACGACAAAAAAGAAAAATAATACCGACCATTATTAAAACAAAAAAAGAAAAGATATTCAGTGAAAAAGAAACAGTCATACCTCCTATGACACTAATGAGTATTAAAATATTAAATCCTCAAGAAAAAGGAATAGTAGGAACCCCTATACAACTAGCAGCCAAAGGATTGGCTATACAACAAGGACGACCTAATGGAGACTACATTCTAGCAATGAATATTAGTGATAAAAATATTCAGATAAAAGAAGGTGAACATATTGGAAATATAGAACAAGTAGATGAAAAAGAAACAATCGGATATGACCCCGAATTTTTTTCTTCAAAAAAATTAGGAGAAACCGAGAAAGAAAGAATAAAGATATTACAAGAAAGGTGTGGAAATAAAGTATGGAAAATATTAGGAGACGTATTAACTGAATATGTAGATGAATTTAGAGAAAAACAAGAAATGAGAACTTCCGTAAATAATAACGTAATTCCTGATATTCAATTTATATTGAATAAAAAAGATCACGAAATTCCTGATAGTGATAAAAATTAAAGAATAAGAAAATATACTGTAGATGAAGAAAAAATTATTAAAGAATTATGTGAAGATTTAGAAAAGAATGATGTTATATATCCTGGATATAGCGAATGGGCAAGTAATGTACAAATAATAACCAAAAAAGATGGAAGAAAAGCAATAGTAATAGACTATAGAAGACTAAATAAACATTTAGTAAAATTCAAACAACCATTACCAAATACAATGCAATTCCTACAAGATATTAGTAGATATAAATATTATACAACAATGGATTTAAAATCAGCATATTGGCAACTAAACGTACACCCAAAATCACAAAAATATACAGCAAGTAGATTTGGAAGATTTGGAATATACCTTTGGAAAAGGTTA